CACCCCATGATCGCACCACCCTTCCCAATCCATCCCATGATCCCATCACCCATCTGATCGTCCCACCACCCAACCCAACCCTTTCCACGATCCCACCACCCAACCCAACCCAACCCATGATCCTACCTCCCACCCCACCCACCTCCCACCGCTGTCCTCCTTTCCAGGTGATGCGCTGGGAGGGCTCCATGTTCCGGGAGATCCAGCAGGTCCCGGCTCGGGGGTCGATGATCTTCCAGCCACTGACCTTGAGTGGCCACCGCTACGTCCTGCTGGGCAACGACTTTGCCCTGAGCCGTGTGTTCCGCCTGGGCCCCGAGGGGCACCTGGAGCCCACCCAGGAGCTGCTGGTACCCACCCCCCGCGCCTTTGTCCCTGTCACTATTGGCCAATGGCACTTCCTTGTGGCCTCTAGCTTCAAAGGGGCCACCCAGATCTACCAGCACATGACCATAGACCTCGAGGCATGAGAGGACATGGGGACATCAACCATCATGTCACCATGGACTGATCACTTGAGGGATGGGGGGACACCATGTGACCATGGACCTGGTCACCTGAGGGACATGGGGACATCATCCCCCTCACCATCATGGACCTGGTGCCACCATCCCCCTGATGACCCCATTGGCCTCGTGTTCCCTCCTGGTGTCATCACTGCCCTGATGTCCCCAAGGCCACCACCTCACCTTGTCCCCTCCTGGTGACACCACTGCCACAATATCCCCAAGGCCACCATCAGCCTGATGTCACCACTGAACTTGTGTCACTTCCTGCTGTCACCATGGCCCTGATGTCCCCTGTCCCCTCCTGGTGCCACCACCAACTCCAAAGCCACCTTCAACCTGATGTCACCATTGGCCCAATTTCATCTTTTGGTGCCACCAATGCCCCGATGTCCCCAAGGCCACCGTCACCACAGTATCACCACTGGCACAATGTCCCCTCCTGGTGCCACCACCAACCCTATGTCCCCAAGGCCACTGTCACTGCAATGTCCCCATTGGCCTTGTGTCCCCTCCATGTGCCACCCACCGTCCCCAAAGCCACCATCAAGCTGATGTCCTCTCCTGGTGCCACCATCCCCCTGATGTCCCTGAGGCCACTATCTACCCGTGTCACCTGGTCCCCTCCACGTGCCACCCCCCAGCACTGTCCCCTGTCCCCCCTGATGTCCGCCAAGTGCCACCACCCCCCAAGAACCAAATTACCTCTTTTTTTTTTAACCTTTTTTATTCATTTTCCCCATTTGTTGGGCCGTTTTTGGGGGGTTCCACCCCAAAATAAACCCATCCCTCCCCCCTCCATGTGTCGCTGCACTTGGGGACACTCGGGGACACTTGGGGACACCTCAGCACGTGCTGACGGCTCCTGTGAAGAGAGGGGGGATTAGGGGGGTCCCCATTGTCCCTAAGGTCCCCCAGATGTCCCGAAGTCCCCCCTTTGTCCCCAGTGCCCTCCCCCTTGTCCCCAAGTACCCCAGATGTCCCCAAGGGGGGAGAGGACACTCACCTGTTCCAACCAGGTGTGACATCTCAGGGGGGTGTCGTTGGTGGCTGTGGGGAGTGGGCAGGGTCAGGGACACCTCTGTGTCTCCAATGTCCCCTTGTCCCCCCAATTCCCCCCCATCCTCCCAGTGTCCCCCCAGTGTTCCCCTGTCCCACCTGGCCTTGCTCCGGCACTTGCACTTCCCACCTGTCAGGAGACACAACAGGTGACACAAAGAAGGTGACACAGGGACCCCCCGGGTGACATTAGGGACCCCCAGGTGGCATTGGGGACCCCCCAGGTGACACAAACACCGTGCAGGTAACATTGCTGCCCCCCCCGCCAGGTGAAACTGGGGACATCCCCAGTTGGCACAGGTGACACTCACTGAGCAGGACGATGAAGCCCAGGACACACAGGAAGGCAGCCACGCCCAACCCGGCCACACGCAGGTGATGCCAGTCTGGAGGGACACACCTGTCACACCTGGGACACAGCTGGGGACACACCTAGGAAACACCTCGGGAAACACCTGGGGACACATCTGGCACACGCCTGAGGACACACCTTCGGACAAGCCTGGGACACACCTGGGGACACACCTGGGGATTCACCAGGGACACACCTGGGGACACAATGGGGGACACACCTGGAACACACCTGGAACACACCGGGGGACACACCTGGGGACACACCTGGG